TACACCTATTCTGGAAAACTCGAAGTTGGTGTTGTAGAATGGTTATTCTATTGACTATGTGGTATTATGTCGGTGCACAAAGTCGCTAGCGGCCTTGATGTACACAACACGATCCAAGGCCAGGGACATCGGAGAGATTTTTTATATACAATAGAAAAGGGGTGGGGTTAAGAAGTTCTAGTTTATACCATCTCTTCGTTCAACCCCTCCGTGCCTATTTACCTGCCTCTACCGCCGAAGAGAAGGTAAAGATGCCTACAGTCTATCTAAGTAGGGCTCGTGGGTGCAGTACTTCCTACACTTGTTTATTATGGCTTAAATTGAGTATCTTTTGTAAGTGGAGACAGTGAAATCTTACTATCTGCCGCCACGTCAGCTAAGAGCCTATTCAGATCTTCCATCTCTAGTTGCTATTATGCTATTCTATTTATACGATGCCGATGCCGCCGCTCTACTGAGGAACGATATAGCGGTATTGTCCTCATGTCGCTTCTCCTCTAGACTATAGTTGTTAAGAGTTTTCTTTCTAAGATGTGTTACTTCGCGGCTGATGTCTGATTCTCTATCACAAGGTAGATATTGTAAGCCAGCATTAGCTTCAACCTCTGGATCAGCTCGACCAGCACGGTTGTAAAACCCGGGTCTTGTATCGTTGAAGTTTGTCCCCCCTCCCAGTACGGATAACCTAGATCATGACTTTTCATTATTCCTCGAACACGGTTTTTCGGTAAACCGGACGTTCGATGAACTGCAAAAATCTGCAGCGAGAGAAAAAAAAAAATGAAGACTTCCAAGGCTGGTTTTCAGCAGGACCATCTTCCCATGTAACTTCATTATCGCACTCTGTTTTATTAGAGCGGATCATTGTTCTTCCTAGGGCTAATATCCGCAGACATCCGTTTGGATGATTATAATTGAATGATTCACAAGTATCTCCGTTACCTACACCAGTGTCCCCAGAAGCACACAAAAGTTTAATACCTTGGAGAGCGAGTTTGAGAATCTCGGTGCATTGCCTTATAACATGATCCTCAACATGGGCATTTCGCTCACCGAGTCCTGAATAGTAGGAGCTGGCGATGAATGCAGGTGGCTTTCAGGTCCCGCATTGATATGCACCATGATAGTTGTTGCCGGGAGAGCCGTCAGGAGCATCTGGCGGTGTAACAGGTGTTGTTTCTAGGCCTAATATTTTCTAATAAGACACTGAACTTGCCACAATTTGGGAATTCAGGAGAAGTTATATCATGAAGTCATGATTCCGCCTGGTCCATGTTGGATGCTTTAAGAAAAATCCTGATCAAAAGTGGACTATATTCATGCAATCACTCACTCTCTCTCTTTTACACAAGAAGGAATATTCAGCACGCTCTTCATGTAGTACAGAGGTGTCGGGAGCCCTTCTAACAATATAGCTAGACACGTGCCCGACGGAAATTATCCGTGTTGACCAAACCTTAAATCTGATTATTATTATTATTATTATTCTAGTTTAACGTCCTGTGTCAGCCGGTGGGCTATATAAGACGTGTAGGCTAGGCCTACAGGTAACTACGTAGT